TCGATCTCTTGACCTCGTGATCTGCCCGCCTCAGCCTCCCAAAGTCCTGGGATTACAGGTGTGAGCCACTGCGCCCAGCCTGTCATGATTTCTATGATATTTGTTTTCTTTCTTTCTTTTTTTTTTTGATAGTAGTTCTCAAGGAATTTATTATTTATTTATTTTTAATTTTTATTTTTGAAATATTCGTTTTCTTCCTGTCTTTACAGTTTACCAACTGTGTATGCATAATGTTTAGTTTTGTCGGTTTTGGAACTTTATGTAAGGGGAATCAGGTTGTATTTTATCATTTTCTTCTTTCTCTCAAAATTAGGTTTGTGAGATTCATCTATATTGAATATGTGGCTTTAGTTTGTTCTTTTTCATTATTGCTGTAGAGTATTCCATTGTATATTAAAACTTTTTTTTTTTTTTTTGGAGATGAAGTCTCGCTCTATTGCCCAGGCTGGAGTGCAGTGGCACAATCTCGGCTCACTGCAACCTCCGCCTCCCAGGTTCAAGTGATTTTCCCATTTCAGCCTCCTCAGTTGCTGGGACTACAGGCACCCACCACCATACTCAGCTAATTTTTGTATTTTTAGTAGAGACAGAGTTTCACCATGTTGGCCAGAATGGTCTCAATCTCCTGACCTCATGATCCATCCACCCAAAGTGCTGGGATTACAGACATGAACCACTGCACCTAGCCCTGTATATTGAAACTTTAAAAAAAATCTAGTCCATTGTTGATGAACATGTAGGTCCTTTATGTATTGTATTATGAGCTATGCCACTGTGAATATTTGTGTGTCTCTCGGGGCACATGGGCAATGTAATTGGTAATTAATTATTTCATGTGTTTATGTCATATTCCATATTTTCTTCAGAACATAAGAATCACATCTTTAAGGCCAGGTTTGGTGGCTCAGGCTTGTAATCCCAACACACTGAGAGGCCAAGGTGGGTGGATCATGAGGTCAAGAGATCAATACCATCCTGGCCAACATGGTGAAACCCTGTCTTTACTACAAATACAAAAATTAGCCAGGCATGGTGGTGCATGCCTATAGTCCCAGCTACTTCAGGCTGAGGCAGGAGAATCACTTGAACCCAGGCGGAGGAGGTTGCAGTGAGTACTACACTCCAGCCTGGCTACAGAGTAAGACTCTGTCTCAAAAAAAAAAAAAAAAAAAAAAAAAAAAAATCACACCTTTTATACTTAATAAAGACTTTGAGCATACATTTGTTTTCTTTTTTTTTTTTTTTTGAGATGGAGTTTCATTCCTGTTTCCCAGGCCAGAGTCCAATGGTGCAATCTCGGCTCACCACAACCTCCACCTCCCAGGTTCAGCGATGCTCCTGTCTCAGCCTCCTGAGTAGCTGGGATTGCAGGCATGCCACCACACCTGGCTAATTCTGTATTTTTTAGTAGAGACAGGTTTTCTCCATGTTGGTCAGGCTGGTCTTGAACTCCTGACCTCTGGTGATCTGTCCACCTCGGCCTCCCAAAGTGCTGGGATTACAGGCATAAGTCACTGCACCGGGCCAGAAGCCTCTTCTATAGAGGACATCAGCATCTGCTATCTTTATGGCTTATGCCTTGTGTTAGTCATCACAACACAGAGGATGCACTGGCTGCCCTATCCTGGCCAAAGGTCTCCCTGCTAAGCATGGATTTGCACACCCAGGAAAATCATTTATGGGGGGTTGGGCAAGGTGTTGGGGGGACCCTGTGTGCTCTCTCAAATGCACACCAGCCATTTGGGAGATATTAACTGCTCAAAAATATAGAGTCTGTATATAGGCTCTCCCCTCATGTTGACAAGTCCTGGGGCAAAAGTACAAACAGATACCTAAATTATTAAAATTACAAACCAGGTTGGGCAAGGTGGCTTACATCTGTAATCTCAGTACTTTGGAGGCAGAAGTGGGCAGACCTCTTGAGGTCAGGAGTTCAAGACCAGCCTGGCCAACATGGTAAAACCCCGTCTCTACTAAAATTACAAAAGTTAGGCCGGGCGCGGTGGCTCAAGCCTGTAATCCCAGCACTTTGGGAGGCCGAGGCGGGTGGATCACGAGGTCAAGAGATCGAGACCATCCTGGTCAACATGGTGAAACCCCGTCTCTACCAAAAATACAAAAAATTAGCTGGGCATGGTGGCACGTGCCTGTAATCCCAGCTACTCAGGAGGCTGAGGCAGGAGAATTGCCTGAACCCAGGAGGCGGAGGTTGCGGTGAGCCGAGATCCCGCCATTGCACTCCAGCCTGGGTAACAAGAGCGAAACTCCGTATCAAAAAAAAAAAAAAAATTACAAAAGTTAGCTGGGTGTGGTGGTGCATGCCTGTAATCCCAGCTACTCAGGAGGCTGAGGCGGGAGAATCACTTGAACCTGGGAGGCAGAGGTTGCAGTGAGCTGAGATGGTACCACTGCCCTCCAGCCTGGGCAACAGAGTGAGACTCTGTCTCCTAAATAAATAAATAATAAAATAAAATTCCAAACCAACTAACTGCTAACCTTAATATAGTCTATTCTTCTACTTTGACAAATACACATTTTTAAGACCCGGAAGACCAGGTTTAAATTTAGAATTCCTGGACTCCTGGAATTATGCACATGAATGAGGTGGCGAAGGCAGCACAGGCCCTGGCCCAACTATTGTCTCATGGCTTACTTGGCTTCCTTTCTCACCTCTGTCTTGAACCATGTGGGATCTGTGGACATAGGAGCTCAAATGCCCAAGTGTCATGTCACCCCCTTAAGCAAAGCTGCCCTGTAGCCCCCTTTTTTTAGATGAGAAATAATCATTTTAATAAAAGTATATCTTATTTAAAACAAATGATTTAATTAAAGCAGAAACTGATTCTAATGAATGGATTTTCTGATTATTATTTTATTATTATTATTATTTGAGACAGAGTCTCACTCTACAGCCCAGGTTGGAGTGCAATGGTGAGATCTCTGGTCACTGCAACCTCCATCTCCTGGGTTCAAGCAATTCTCCTGCTTCAGCCTCCCGAGTAGCTTGGATTACAGCCATGTGCCACTACACCTGGCTAATTTTGTATACATTTTTTTTCACTGAGAAAAAAATGTTTTTCATGACATCTGAGAATTATCAGCTAACTTTGTATTTTTTTAGTAGAGATGGGGTTTCTCCATGTTGGTCAGGCTGGTCTTGAACTCCTGACTTCATGTGATCTGCCCACCTCATTCTTCCAAAGTGCTGGGATTACAGGTGTGAGCCACTGCACTTGGCTTATTACTATTTTTTGTTTTAAGTTCTGGGATACATGTGCTGAATGTGTAGGTTTGTTACATAGGTATACATTTGCCATGGTGGTTTGCTGTACCTATCAACATGTCATCTAGGTTTTATGCCTCGTGTTAGTCACCACAAAAACACAGAAGTTGCATTAGGTATTTGTCCTAATGCTCTCCCTCCCCTTGTCCCCCAACAGGCCCCAGTGTGCGATGTTTCCCTCCCTGTGTCCATGTGTTGTCATTGTTCAGTTCCCACTTATGAGTGAGAATATAGAGTGTTTGGTTTTCTGTTCCTGTGTTAGTTTGCTGAGAATGATGGTTTCCAGCTTCATCCATGTCCCTGCAAAGTACATGTTCATTCTTTTTTATGGCTGCACTTTAGCCCCTTTTAGGGATGCCTAGATTCTGCCCTACAGAGAATGGATCTGGGTGGGAAAGGGGCCACAGCTTCTTTCTGCGCCCATGGATATGTATTCAGAAGTTGATCCTGAAGTGCCAAACCCTGTGGACTCCCTCACCCTGGCATGGGATTGTTGTGCCTTAGGGTTTACCTAAAAATATGAAAATGTACATAATTCCTGATGCTCCTATCTTATTTCAAAATAGATTTTTAGGCCAGGTGCAGTGGCGCACATTTGTAATCCCAGCACTTTGGGAGGCCGAGGTGGATGGGTCACCTGAGGTCTAGTTCCAGACCAATGGCTGGGCACGGTGGCTCACACCTGTAATCCTAGCACTTTGGGAGGCCAAGGTGGGTGGATCATCTGAGGTCAGGAGTTCAAGACCAGCCTGGCCATCATGGTGAAACCCCATCTTTAAAAAAAAAAAAAAAAAGTATATATAAAAAAAAAGAGTTCCATATCAGCCTGGCTAACATGGCAAAACTCGGTCTCTACTAAAAATATAAAAATTATCCAGGCATGATGGCATGATGGGGGGTGCCTGTAATCCCAGCTACTCAGGAGGCTGAGGCGGGAGAATCTCTTGAACCCAGGAGGCGGAGGTTGCAGTGAGCCAAGACCGTACCATTGCACTCCAGTCTGGGTGGCAGAGTGAGACTCCGTCTCAAAAAAAAAAAACAACAAAAAACTTTGAACTACCTCCTTGGCATGGGGTGCTTCAGGTGCCAAAACCAGATGGGGAGGGGTGATCAGAGGCGATTTCCTAATGTATGGGCCCCAGAGCGTGTTCTCCTGCCCAGGTAGAAGGGCCAAACTTTCTGTATGATTTCTCCTCTCCTGCCATGAGTGCAGGGTCTGTACCTGGCCGTATCCCCGGCATCTATCGTCACTGAAAAGTCAAACATATTTGCTTAATGGATGGCATACTGGTCTATGCATCAGAAGACCTGGGGTCCAGGCCCAGTACTGTTGGAAACAGTTCGTCATATTTTATTACCTCATTTAAACTTCTGTTAGCCATTATATTGATAAAAGTTCCAAGAGGTGAAGTGACTGTCCCAAGGTCACACGGCTGAAGAGGTAGAGGCTGGAACTGGACCGTGCCATCTGTCCTCCTTTCTTCTTAGCTTTTTTCCCCTGTGCCAGGGTGGAGAACCGGGACCGGCCCCTTCGAGAGGCCGGGCCTTTCCTCTTGCCCCTGTACTCCAGCTTCTCTCCGTACTCAGCCTCCCTGGGCCGCGGGCTTAGGCGCCCAGCTCTGCTCGGAGCCTTCCTCCCGCGGCGCTCCCTCCGCCTCCCGAGGCCCCGCCCCTCCCCTCGGGACAGCGTCACGTGCCGCCCCATCCCCCCGCGCCTGCGCACTGCTTATTTCCCGCTGTCAGGATGAGGAGGTGGAGGTCGGCGGTCGGGTCCGTCTCTGCCCGCGGCTGTGGCGGCGCCGGCGGCTCCAGCCTTAGCGGTTCCTCCCTGGGCGGCGGCGGCGGCGGCTCGGTCGACGCCTCCTCCGCCAGCTGAGCCCGCGGGAGCCCGGGACGCCGCTTCCCCGCCCATCCCCGCTCCTCGAGGCCGGCCGCCTGGTCATGGCGCAGCCGGGCCCGGCTTCCCAGCCTGACGGTGAGGCGCCCACCATGGCAGCGCGGCGGGCGCGGCCTGCCCGGCGTCGGCGTCGCGGGAGGACCTCGGGGCGGGCGGCGGGAAGGGCGCGCGCAGGCCCCGGGGGTGACCCCGCCGGGCGGAGGCGGGAGCGCGCGGGCTGCGGCGCGCTAGGGGGACCGTCGCTGGGGAGGGGGCGGGAGGCGCCGGTGCTGCGCTTGCGGGAGGACGGAGGGAAGGGCTTGGGGAGGCTGCTGGGTAGCGTGGGGGAGTGTGGGGCGGGAGCGGTTCTGGGTAGCTGGGGGATCGGCACGTGGGTTCTGCCGGTGGGGGAGGATGGAAATCGGGAACATGTGCTATATTCGTTAAGGAAAAAAAATCTTTGCTTAGGTAGTGTGCCCTCCCGGCTGCCCCAGTCCTTGCTGTAGAGCTCTTTGCATCTTCTTATGTGACCGTTGGGTACAGTAACTGGATTTAGTAGCATTCCCTGAATGACAGTGTGGCTTAATGGTAAGTGTTGGGGCCTGGGAGTCTAAAGGACCTGGTTTCTTAACCAGCAAGCTTAGGGCTCATTTTTTAGCTTCGTTAAGCCTCAGTATTCTCACCCACTAATTAACCAAGAGGTTAATTCATGCCTTTATATTTTATCTATTAAAAATAGCAACACGAATGTGTATATAAAATGATAGTATTATTATGGAGGTGTTAGGAATAATGAGAATGGTATTTGAGAATGCTGAGGCCTACTTGCACTACTTGAAGATTGTGGAACTAAAAAAAAAAAAAAAAAGCGAAGTCGAAGAAATATGTCATTTTATGGTGTTTATATTCTTGGAAGGATAAAAGGGCCCCATCCTAAATATAGGAAATCTGTGTTCTTCCTATTTTATTCCTGTCAAAGTTGGTTGTCAGAGCCTTTCATGACCTTCTGGGAAGTTGGACTAAACTGTGCTTCACAGATTGACTACATCGTTCCAGGTTTTACCACCTAGAATTGATGTTTGGAAATAATGTGCTTGATCTTTAACAAGATCCTACTGTCTCTGGTTGTGAAAGTTCGTTCTGGTCTATTTTCATAATTAGCGTGTGTGCTTAGCATCTTTAAGTGTGAATGGAGTAGAATGTTGGGAAAAGGTGCTTGGTAAGGAGTAGGTACTTTAAAACTTACCTTTGCTTGTCTTGTCTCAAAATAACCTTTCATGAAACCCTTACTCTTTATTCTCACCTTTGGGGAACTTGAAACCATGTTATCAGATTTTAAGGTTCTGGCGGCTCTCTGGGAAGTGTGCTCCAAAGCCTGTTAGCCTGTAGTTTTGGGTGTTGTTAGTTGCCTAAGGGGAGATGTCCAGTAAGCACTTGGAGTTTTATAAGAACCTGCTTACTCCTTCTGTTCTAGTAGAAGGCAAGGGAAGCATTTTTGGTCCGCTGTCAGAGGAAACTGGGATATTTTCAGGCTGCATTTTAATGATCACCTTTTGCATTTGGTGTCAGGCAAGAAAACTTTGTTCTTCCACAAACCCACTTTGTTACTGCACCCAGGCAGGATACAGAGAGAACTTGTGGTTCTGATCAGGAGCGGTAGGTATGCATAGCTGGCTGCTGCGTTTTCTTGAGTTGCATGGAAACAAACGTCTGGGCAGCTCAGGTGACCTGACAGTCTGGAATCAAAATTCCCTGTAAATAGGCAGAAGTGACTAAGCACTTGAAAGAGGCTAATTAGCTTTAGGAAATCTGTGTTCTTCCTATTTTATTTACGGTTTATTTCCTGTATTTCAAATCTTGTGACTCTAGGATGAGATTTAGTTTGCGTATATTGCAATTTTTATTTTAAATTAATTTTTTTAACAGTAGGATAGAGATAATTCGGTACATTTGAGTGCCTGTGTCAGTGTCTTAGAAGTTCATCCTGGGGATTTTTTTTTTTTTTTAAGCAGTATCTCACTCTGTTGCCCGGGCTGGAGTGCAGTGGCACCATCTTGGCTTACTGTAGCCTGGAGCTCCTGGGGTCAAAGAAGTCCACCCACCTCAGCCTTCTGTGTAGCTGTAACTACAAGTGCCCAGCTGATTTTTGTATTTTTGTAGATACGGTGTTTTGCCATGTTGCCCAGGCTGGTCTCAAACTCCCGAACTCAAGGGATCTACCTGCTTAGGCCTCCCACAGTGCTAGGATTATAGATGTGAGCCCCTGAGCCGGGCCTTTGGGGATTTAATTTTTATCTTTAGCTGAACTCTTGTAGACCACTTTAGCTTTGGGCACACTTGAATTTCCTAGTTGTGCTGATTAAAAAAAAAAAAAAAATCGCCAGAATTCTTTTGTGTCAAACTGATGGTGAAAGATAACTAACTGCTTAGTCTTGACTTTATCTCATTTTACCCTATTGCAGAAGCGATTGTCTTTTATGACTTTTTTTTTTTTAAAGTATCTTGTCTGTTTTTCATAGCCGTATGGTAGATTAAGAAAATAGATTTGTAAAAACAAAAAACAAAAACAAAAAGATAAAAAAGATTTGTGTATAAATTCAAGGAATGAAATGTAGTCATTTTATTACTTCATTTTAATTATTTTGTAAATTAAAAGTTCTGGTTATTTGATACTGCTTCTTAGTTTACTTGGAATACAGGTAATTTTAATAGTCATAGAAAGTTCAATTGATCTGTTTTCCCTTGAGAATTAAAAAATGTTTTGCAGTAGCTTCGAAGGTATCTTGATTAAAAAAAAAGAGAATTCAAAAATGTGAACACTTTTTTTTTTTTTTTTTTTTTTAAGACGGAGTTTCACCATGTTGGTCAGGCTGGTCTTGAACTCCTGACCTCAGGTGACCTGCCCGCCCTGGCCTCCAAAGTGCTTGGATTACATGCATGACCAACTACGCCTGGCCAAATGTGAACACTTTCAAATTTTAATATTTATTTTAGGTCGGGCATGGTGGCTCACACCTGTAATCCCAGAACGTTGGGAGGCCCAGGTGGGCAGATTACCTTAGGTTAGGAGTTGGAGAAACCCCATCTCTACTAAAAATACAAAACTTAGCTGGGTGTGATGGCAGGTGCCTGTAATCCCAGCTCCTCAGGCTGAGAGGCAGAAGAATCGCTTGAACTCGAGAGATGGAGGTTGCAGTGAGCCAGTAATGTGTCATTGCACTCTAGTCTGGGCAACAAGGCAAGACTCCATCTCAAAAAACAAAACAAAAAAATTTAATCTAAGTTCAGCTATATCTTTGAAGCATTTGCTCTGATTTTACTTTTTTTTTTAACCTTTTTTTTTTTTTTTTTTTTTTTAAATTAAGATGGGGTTTCACCATGATGCCCAGGCTGGTCTTGAACTCCTGACCTCAGGTGATCCACCCACCTTGGCCTCCCAAAGTGCTAGGATTACAGGCATGAGCCACTGCGCCCACCTTTTCTTTTCTTTTTCTTTTGTAGAGAGCGTCTCACCTTGTTGCCCAGTCTGGTCTTGAAGTCCTGGGCTCAAGCAATTCTCCCATCTTGGCCTCCCACTGTTGGGATTACAGGCATGAGCAACTTCGCCCAGCCTACTTCATTATTTTTTATTCTTGCCATGTTGACCAGGCTGGATTCCTGACTCTTTCATGTTACAGACATGCTACCTTTTACCCCTGAAAGATCTGCTTTGCATACATAGGTCTGCAACTTCCCTATCTCACTCAAGAAATATTAGTTATATTATATACTCATACATAGTCTTATGGCCATGTAATGTTCTGTAAACACTATAGGCATTATCTTAGGAAATCTTCATAGCAATGAGGTGGATACTATTGAAATAGTACTTGCTTCTAATTTATTGATGAGGAAACTGAAGCACAGAGAAGTTAAAGCAACATACCTGGTGTTACACAGCTCCTAAGTGGGGAGCAGGATTCAAATCCAGGCCATCTGGCTTAGGTACTAGATCATGGACTACTTTCCAGGTCAGTGTTGAAGGCCTCCTTATTCTTGTTAAAGATGATCTCTTTTTTTTTTTTTTTTAATCCCCTTTTTGTCTCCCCCCCCCAAAAGACGACCTCATCATATGCATGTATCATGCATGATTTATTGTGCATTTCTCTATTGTGGGGCCAAGTAGATTGTTTCCAATTTTTAATTATGTTACAAGCAGTGTTATGATCGATGTCCTTGTGCATATTTTTTTAGGTACTCTTTTATTTCTGTAAGACTAGTGAATGAAAGAGCATGATTTCTCAGTGGTTTAAATTTTAATACCTGTTGCTAGCTTACCCTTGAAGGGATCAGTTTACATAGTTTTCAACAATATATGGCAGGTGGATTTTCCCTGTAATCTTACAAGCTCTGGATGATGTCATTTGTTTTAAATTTGTGTCTTTTGATCAAAAAAAGTGGTATTGTTTGGCCAGGTGTGGTGGCTCATACCTTTAATCCCAGCACTTTGGGAGGCTGAGGTGGGTGGATCATAAGGTCAGGAGTTCAAGACCAGCCTGGCCAACATGGTGAAACCCTGTCTCTACTAAAAATACAAAAATTAGCGGGGCGTGGTGGTATGTGCCTGCAGTCCCAGCTACTCGGGAGGCTGAGGCAGAAGAATCGCTTGAACCCAGGAGGTGGAAGTTGCAGTGAGTCGAGATTGTGCTACTGCACTGCACTCCAGCCTGAGTGACAGAGTGAGACTCCATCTCAAAAAAAGAAAAAAAAAAAAAAGTGCTATTGTTCAATTGACAAGTATTTGTGTGCCTATTCTATGCCGAATCCTATGCTAGGATCTAGGAAATGCAATGATGAATAAAAATAGACCTAGTCCTTATGCCTAGGTAGTGAATCATCCAGCCATTAATTAGACAATCCTACAGACAAATACAAAATTATTTATTCAACTAATATGAATGTATACTATTTGTCAGACACAATTCTAGGTATTTGGAATATATCAGTAGGCAACGTGGATAATAACCCTGCCCTAGTATGGGAGAAACAGATATTAAACAACAAATATAAGCAAATGATATGCATTGTTAGATGATAAGTGCAGTGGAAAAAAGAGTAGG